TTCCCCAGCCGAGGGGGGGGGGTGGGATTTGGAATATCAGAACATAGGTGGGGGGACGCTACATGGAAGTCCGAATTTAAAAAAAATATTTTTGCTTGTATTTCCAACTTTGCTTCCCATGTTAATGTGGCGTCTTGAACACCCCATAATACCTCTATCCATCTCACATTTAGTTGGACATCCTTTGTGAATGGCCCCTAAGCATTTTTGTAACATTTACAAATTAGTTGTTGTTGAACATATTCTTATCTTGTATGTCTTGTATCTCTGACTGCTTTAGAGTCCAAATGTTTTGGAACAAAATTTCTCAACTACAGCATGCACAAACGCATCACAAACAAAATATGAACAAAACATGTCTAAATAACCCCAAACATGTATAAGTAATAACACTTTCTTCGCTGTCTTCCTCACCTTCAGAAACTAAATCTTCAGAAAACATAACTCATGTATTATAAAACCCCCTCTATCTCTTCGAATTTAAAAACTATTTGGTACGATCACTGACAGAAATTTGGCGGGATGGCGTCTATTACTTCATGTTACGAACACCTAATAGTTTGCGTTTTGAGAATTAACTCACCAATTCCACATTTGCCACAAAATTTATCATCTTGCGAAATCGCCTTTCCGCAGCCAGAACAAAATATCGTTACTTTCTGTCGCCCCAGCAGCCATGATGGAGGTAATGGAAATAATTGTAGAATATAAAATACTTCGCGGGAATGTACCCCTCACTACTTCATGTTAGGTACAACTAACGTGAGTTAATTTCATTTTGCCGTGAATTGATTTTATTCTGCCCTGAGTTAATTTCATTTTGCCGTGAGTTAATTTCATTTTGCCGTGAGTTAATTTCATTTTGCCGTGAGTTTATTTCATTTTGCCGTGAGTTAATTTCATTTTGCCGTGGGTTAATTTCATTTCGCCGTGAGTTAATTTCATTTTGCCGTGAGTGATTTTATTTTGTCGTGAGTTAATTTCATTTTGCCGTGAGTTAATTTCATTTTGCCGTGAGTTAATTTCATTTTGCCGTGAGTTGATTTCATTTTGCCGCAGGGGCACCGTGGGTGTGCTAATGTAGGGGTGGCCAAAGGCAACATTATTCCGACCAGCACGTTTTTTTTCCGACATCTTTATAAGAAAAAAGTAACGAATATTGATAAAACTGACAAAGGGTTTTGGGCAAGGACGCGCATGCATTTGCTATGACGAAGATCACGAGCTACGCTTCATGCACAATGAATATGACAGATAAATATTCACGTCTTACATACGCTTTTCAATTGAGTAGTTGAATAATTTTTGACAGTTCACTGTTTGTGGGAAAACTGTATTACATAGATTTCTAATCCACGTGCATTAACAAATAACGCGATACGTTATTTCACGATACTCTATTATAGCTTTGTAATAATAGTAGATGAGCATACAGCGTATTCTATACGCAACATTTGTTTATAACCAAAATATAAACATAATCGCAATTGCTTCAATCCTCTCATCAGTTTAGTTCTTCCGCTGTACTATCGTTGTACCTTATCTTTGTATAAACTTCAGGAACCGTTTGACTAAAAGTACTAACTTGAAAAGGATTTGCTGTAGCTCTAGCATTCTGATACGGAACATGCTGGTGTTTCTTTAGACGGTCAACATATAATGCAATAAACTGTAAAAACTCACTGAACAATAAATGCGGTCGAAGATACATCGCCATTCATGATTTTATCGCGCCAATCTCCGACATTTCGAAAATTACATTCCTTGCGTAAAGTTATATTAATAGAAAATATGTTTATCGGAAACCGGAAACGTTCGGAAAAAAAAGCTAGTTTAGCCTGCGCGACAACAGTATAATAAAAACTTGGGGTAGTGTCGTACCGTATAATATTAGAAATAACCGCGTCTATTTTCTGATAGTTCAAATACTTTTGAGTTGTTCAGCATAACACAGCCACAAATGCAAAAATAGCTTAGTCTCTGTTATGATTGATATACTCCGACAACATGCAATGTTCATAAATTTCCGACAGGTTTTAATCCTGGGGGGGGCCATGGCCCCCCCTGGCCCCCCCGGCCACGGCGCCCCTGTTTTGCCAAGAGTTAATTTCATTTTGCCGTGAGTTAATTTCATTTTGCCGTGAGTCAATTTCATTTGCCGTGAGTTAATTTTACTTTGCCGTGAGTTAATTTCATTTTGCCGTGAGTTAATTTCATTTTGCCGTGAGTTAATTTCATTTTGCCGTGAGTTAATTTTATTTTGCCGTGAGTTAATTTCATTTTGCCATGAGTAATTTTATTTTGCCGTGAGTTAATTTCATTTTGCCGTGAGTTAATTTCATTTTGCCGTGAATTGATTTCATTTTGCCGTGAGTTAATTTCATTTTGCCGTGAGCTAATTTTATTTTGCCGTGAAGTAATTTCATTTTGCTGTGAGTTAATTTCATATTGCAGTGAGTTTTACTTTTGCCGTGTCACTTGTGGGCCTGCGTAACAATCAGAATGGAGGGAGAAATGGAGCTTCCTTTCCCGCGTCCTCCCCAAAACGCCTTGCGCGCTCACTCAGGTTAGCCACTGATCTATGTAAAAGCCTGTTGTGTTTCTATATTTATTTTATTTAAAGCGCCTGGGAACGAGGCTGGCCTACACTGCTACAGTACTCATCAATGATTTTCTTATATTGATATACTGTGTATATAATACAGCTGGAATAAAGGAAATTAATATCGGCTAACTACGCATGTAAGGGCGAGTTTAATCAAAAGTTTTATAGTTATTGTTATTGTTATTATCGGCTCTATTGCCTATATTGATAGGGCGGCCAAAACACGAGGCTTTTCATGCTGAAGAAACGGGAAATATCTTACCTTTGCCATAGCCCGCAGGGTCGCCAAAACTCGCCATTCATCAAAATGCGAATCGTATCCTTTAAAATGCGTACGAACACGTTTATTTTTTTGTTCAACCTCTTTAATCTCAACCTCATAGAGGCTGTTGTCTTTCGCCTCCCGTTTAAATGAATTTAAGATTTGTATAATTAATATAAGTTTTTGTCATTGTCATGTTGTGTAACACGTATATGTTATCATTATATATTATATAGTAAAAGCAATTTGATAGGTTAATTAATAGTTGACAAATAAATCGCGCAATCACGCAAAATTCAGTTACCTGCAAGTGAGCCTGCGGTGGTTAACAAGCGGTATTCATTTGAATGTATTTATGTATTAATAATCTATGTATTTTTGAATGTTGCTATTAAATAAGTTTTTTCATTCGTTAATACTATGTTTACTATTCTTCAAATGTCGCGCCTTCGGCTCGGCTGATAACGCTTACCTCGAACTTGATAGCTCTGCGTATCACAAAAACCTCATCCAATAATCGTTTATTATTTGTCTGTTTATGTTCGATAGTATATAAATATTGGGCTGGTACATAAATATAATTCTGACGCTTTTAGTGATGCGTCATTCGTTGATAAAATATTTTTCTCTTCCCCCTGGACAGTCAAGGGTCTCCCAAACTTGTTGTAATAGATCATAATTCTTTTTCAAGCGAAAAGCCTAAATATTAGGCACATTCTTGTTTTCTCTATGTAGACTCGGTAGTTATTTATATTTTTGATAAAAACCTACATTTTGGAGTTTGGTTTGCTGTGCATGGCTTTTAAAAAATAAAATGGGTTTCAGTAATATTAAGAATTATACGTATAAAATTTGTTTGCATGAGTTGAAATATTTTGAAGAATTATTAAAACGTATTAAATAGGTTTATAGGCTATTATTATGGAGAGATGTTTTGTCGGAAGAGCTTTATAATAATTTCCTGTTATGTGAGTTGATCAACCAAGAATCTGTGTTGGGAATGCCGTTAGAGGCTATGTTGAACCGACACAATCACAATTATAGTTTAACTTTTAATAATAAAGAGTAAAGTAAAAACGCCAATTCACATTCACTATCGCAATCCCTAATTGATAATCTCAAGTTGAGCGTCACTTCCAATCTGTCTTCAATCATCAGAATTTCTTACTCATTATTGTTCGCCAGGCAGTGCTAATTATACCTTTGACATTTGCATGCATTATGTTAATTATCATATATCCGCACAATTTCCAACACACTCCCCCTATTCGATTTTCGAAGAAGCGAATATGAAAAGTTGTGCCTCGTTCAGTGTTCACCGTCCCAATAATTATTAACTTGATTTGATTCTAATTTTAACGTAACTTTTCGAAATATATATTTAAAACTAAAGCACTAAGTTCTATACTGTCTTTCGTGTAAGACCAGATCTACTGATCTTCGTTTGCCACAGTATCTTGAACTCGCAATTCTGCAGCTATGGCGGCATCTCGCTTTGGTCTGAATACTTCAGCTTCGGAGCGTAGGTTCGGTTCTTTCTTTTCCGGTTTGAATATGTCGCAACTTAGTTCTAAAGGGTAGAGATGTTGCACGGCACGTTCCAGGTGACCTTTACCCGCCCTCAACTTTGCCACGCGTACGACACCGTCTCGTCCTTTGATTAGGTTTCGACGATCCCAAGTTTCCATTTGTTCCGATCTCGTTCGTCTGATTTGATAATTACTACTTCACCGACCTTCAACGTGAATTGCTTGTTGTTATGTTTCAAGTTGTGTCTTTCTCGCAGCCCTTTTAGGTATTCATCGATCCATCGTCGCCAAAGCTTGTCCTTGCATTTCTCCAGACGTTTAGCTGTTTTTCGCAAATCTCTTTCCTCTACTTCGTTGTAGTCTTGAGTTGGGATATTGTTTGGTCTATTGTGCATCAGGGTGTTTGGTGTTAACAGCGGCAATTGAATGTTGTCTTCTACGTAGCTGAGGTCTTTTTCAAGGATACTTCGATGTCAAGAAGAAGATCTTGCCAGGCATTCCACGTAAGCAAGGTGTCTCCTCCAGTCTTATATAGCGCTTGTTTGACCAGGCCAATGATTCTCTCGTACTGACCGCCCCACCATGGAGCTCTACTGGTGTTGAACTACCACCTGATCTCAAACTTGGAGAGCCAGTCATGTAGGCGTTCATCTTTCATGATATTCCTCAGCCATTTCGCTGCTGCAACGAGCGTCTTGGCGTTGTCGGAATAAATTCTCTGGGGACGTCCTCGTCTTGCTACTAACCGCTTCAAATTTCGCACGAATTCGTTTGTTTCTTGATTTGGAAGAAGCCCCAAATACGTGGCTCGAGTGAGGCGGCAAGCATACAGGATAATGTATGCCTTCCTTTCGCGTTTACTCTTCTTAAGGTACTTTATGGGACCTGCGTAGTCTACGCCGACCACTTGGAACGCTGTGTTCCCTTCGGTCCTATCCCTTGGGAGGTTTCTGATTGGTGGGTTTGCCACCGCGATAGCACGGAATCTCTTGCAGGTATGACAACTCTTTGTCACTCGTTTGACGATGTTTCGCAATCGAGGGGTCCAGTATTTTTCGCGAAATTTCGCCATTGTCATCCCCACTCCCCCGTGACAGCTAAGCTTGTGGGCATGTTCTACGATCTTTTCAGTCAGGAACTCGTTGTCTGGTAGGTAGATAGGGAAATGACCTTGGATTCTTCCTCGACACTCGTACACTCCTGCTTCGTTCTGCTGAAGATTCAGTTGCTCTCGATCTTCTTCAAATTTAGCGGTTCCTTCGTTACGCGCCTGGATCTTCTTCACCCAGAACTTGACTTGTTCGCTGGTTTCTTCTGTTGTCAACGGAGCGGTATTCTTGTTCTCACGACCGTCTTTCACGTTGTCCACGAATCGTTTTGCTGTTGCTGTAATTCGTATCGTTTTCCAAAACCCGAATTTCTTAAGAAGCTGATCTAATTCATCTTGCACTGGTATCGTCAGTGAAAACAATTCCTTGACTGCTTTCGCTTCAGCTTGCGTTTCTGTTGCTTCTTGCGTTTTGATGTTCAGAGGCCAGTTGTCCTCGTCGCTCAACCAGTCAGGACCGTCAATAAAAAGTCAAAACTATACGATTACGTGTCTACTACATTCATCGAAATAAAGCGCATAACTCCAACGGACCAATGATCCTTCCGGATTTGTGGGCTTCGTCTCTCCGCTTTCGAGCTGTGCTATGTTGGAGTGCCATTTATGTAATTTGAACATAGCATCTCGAAAGATGTCAATGGCGTTCTCCTTTAGTTGCTTCACTGTATCAACAGAATCACCACCGCTGACCAAATCATCAACGTACATACTCTTCCTGATTTCTTTCACGACTTCCGGATAATGTTCCTGATAATTTGTTAGATGTTGTTGAATAACGCCCCCAAGGAGGAAAGGCGAGGCCGACAATCCGAAAAACGCTCTGGTGAATCGAAATGTCACTACCTCTCTCGACTTTAAATCTTTAAACCAATGAAAACGCATTGCATCACGATGTTCTTTTCGGATGCGTATTATTATTATTATTATTAAACTTTATTTACACACGGTATTCTCAATCAGGATTTTCATGCTGACAAATGACAAGATTATGAATTACAAAATAAGACTACAAAAATATTTACAATGATAAATCAAACTAATAATTAATATACCTGCTTTTCATGAGAGCCGTGTAAGGAATATATACAAGAAATAAAATATAATACAAATGTGAATGTAGATTAAAATAATTTGGAACAGCCCGCTTTAAAATTTGATAGGTTATTTGCTAGCCGTAGCCCAATCGGTAGGCTGTTCCATAGCATCGCACCACTATAACTAAAACTATTCTTCAGATAGTTTGTGCGAGGCTTAGGAACAGCCAGCTTACTATTTGTGTTTCTCAACGAATAAGGATTGACACTGTCACGGTTTACAAACATGGAACCCATGTATTGTGGAGCAAGTCCATTGAGTGATTTATAAACCATGACAGCCTTTTGAAATTGGCGTTGGGAAGATAACTTTTTCCAGCCAAGTCTATCGAGTAAGATGTCGCATTAGTGTCATAGCTTGAAAAGGTCAAAACTCTCGCTGCGCGATTTTGTAGTTTTTGAAGTTTATCTGCCAAGGTTTTATTGCAATTGTCCCAAACTGTACAGCAATAATTGAAATATGGCTGGACAAGGAATTAAAATTAAATACAATGTTGCAACTGGACAAATGAACGAACGAGTTTTAAAGCGCCAATACCAGAAGCAATTTTTTTTGTTAATTCCTTGATCTGTATATTCCAAGATAGATTTCATCAAGGTGAACTCCTAGAGATTTTGTATGTGAAACCTTGTCTATAGGAATTCCGTCTTTTTAAAACATGGTCTGATTGGAAAGTAGCTATTCTTTGTCGTGAGCCAATTAGCATAAATTCAGTTTTGGATTGATTCAATGTAAGCCTATTGGCGATAAGCCATTTATTAACATTTTCAAGATCTTGATTAAAGTAATAATCTATATCTTCAATTTTATTGCTTGCAAATGTTAAATTGGTGTCGTCTGCATACATTCGTGCTTGGGAGTGCTCAAGACAATTTGGCAAGTCATTTATATACAATAAAAATAGCAATGGTCCCAAAATAGTTCCCTGTGGAATACCACAAAGTAACGTACGGTTGGTAGAAAGATGGCCATTGACATAACATTTTTGACTGCGGTTACTTAAATAAGACCTAAACCAGTTAGCCACAGCACCCCCAAGACCATATGCTGACAGTTTTGACAACAAAATTCCATGGTCAACTGTATCAAAGGCTTTCTTAAGATCTAGGAAAACGACAGCATTGACCAGTCCTTGGTCAATATTGTAGGCCCAGCTATTAGTAGATTCTAGAAGTGCAGTAACAGTTGAATGCAAACGTCGAAATCCAGACTGGCTATTACATAGTAAATTGTTCTCAGTAAGAAAACCGTAAATTTGATCATAAATAATTCGTTCGAAAACTTTCGCCACAACCGGTATTATCGAAATTGGGCGATAATTATTTAAGTCTCTACGCTCGCCCTGTTTGAATAATGGAATGACTTTTGAGCATTTCCATTCTTCAGGAAAGATACCGGTAATGATAGAGCAGTTAAAAATTACGGCAAGGGATTCCGAAAGCAAGTCAGGACAATGACGAAGAAGCTTGGCAGATATTTTGTCTAGCCCAATTGCTTTGGACTTACAAAGTTTGTTAAGAAGCGAATAAACTGATGATGGGGTTATTGACTTAAACTCTATATTATTGTTACTATTGTGGCAAGTAAGATATTCTAAATACGAGCGATTGTTTTCTTCGTCAGGTATTTTTTCCTTAAGCTTAGGTCCAATAGTAGCAAAATGAGTATTAAACGTCTCAGATAGGTCCGAGGGGTCAGTAATAGAAACCCCGTTTATTTTGATTTCATTTACTCGTGAACTCATCTGTTTTCTTGAGGTCAATTCATTGATGATACCCCAAGTTTTTTTAACATTATTCTCGTTTTCATGAAAAGCGTTCATATAATAGGTTTTCTTAACAAGTTTAATTTCATTGTTTACAGAATTTCGAGCTTTCTTAAAAACAGTCCAATCACAAATATCTTTGGATCGAATAGCTTTTATTTTCAAAACATCTCTTTCATGCATTTGCCTTTTTAATTCAGGCGTGATCCACGGCGCCTTAGAAGATCTTACTCGCCTAGTTCGTAAAGGGGCATGCTTTTCCACTACGTTGTTAAAGGTCGTTTTCCATATACGCCACATATCATTCGGATTATTATAAATCCTTATCACGTCCCAATTCTGTAAAGAAATATCTCGTCGAAAATATTCAGAGTTGAAATTTTTAAGTTTTCTATAACTTATTGTAGAATGGCCTTTGTTGCGTGGACTGATAGAAAGCTTACGGAATGCGTAAATTAAGCTATGATCACTGATACCGACATGAGAAACACCAGAGGAAACAATATTATCTGGTGTATTGGTAAAAATATGATCGATCATAGTTGATGAAGTTTCGGTAATTCGAGTTGGTTCATTTATTAATTGATGTAAACCATAGAGTTCAGTGATGCCAATTAAAGATCTCGAATTGCAATCTAAAGTAGGCGATCCAAGGTCACAATTTAGGTCGCCCAATAGGTAATACTCGACATTTTCTGCGTCAAGCATATCAATAAACGTTTCGAAATGATTAAATTTATCAGTATTCGAATTAGGTGGTCTATACCATGTTGTAACGAGAAAGGGCTTAGAATTTGGTTTTTGAATTTGAATACATAAATTTTCCAAGTCATCGATAAACAGGTCCTTGCGAAGTATAAAATTTACGCAGGAGCGCACATAAAAGCAAACACCTCCATACGTTTTTCCATCGGCACTACTACATGCTCTGTCCCGACGTATAATTTCATATCCAGGTATGTAAACATCGTTATCGCTTATTGTAGAATTAAGCCATGTCTCGTTAATTGCTAGAACATCGATTGGGCTAGTAGCAAGCAAAACTCGCAGCTCATCAATGTGATTTACTATGCTTCTCACATTAAGGGCTGCTAACTTAAACCCGCGTGAGGTAGGAATAACGGATTTGGGAAATTGTCAATCTGAGATAGATTTAGCAAAATCTAAAAAGTTTTGTTGTAAAGCTAAGCTACCTTGTCTATTTAAATGAAGGCCCTTCGTGTTTAGGTGGCTTTCATTCATATTTGAATTACTTAAGAAGGGAATTTTATTGCGAATACAATAGCCTTTAAGAATGTTATTAACCTGAGTAGCTTTAACAGTTAAGTCATGATTATCAGACCTTACCAGAATGGCTGATATTCCAACATCTGTACCTGGTGAATCTTCTTTTACTTGCGTTACAATGTTGACGATAGAGTCAGCTATTACTTTTGGCGTGCAATGACTTCTCAGGTCGTTTGTTCCAACATGTAAAATCATCTTGTCCGGTGTTCTTCTTGTAAGTGGCTTGACAAAGTCCTCCATGTCTGTGACTGTTGCTCCAGGGAACGGCTTTACAATAAAATAATGATTAGGATCTTCAGCATTCATCTTCGGACCGATAATATTTTTAACAATTGAGTCTCCTGCAATAACAACTGATTGCTTCTGCGAGTTCTGGCCCTGTCTCGTTGTTTCAATGTTGGAGGTATTTGCAATCCCGCCAGAGCCAGAGGTATTTGCATCCGGAGCATTTAGTTGACTGGTATTATGAGCTGATGGTTTAGACTTGGTTTTCTTACTCTTCTTTTTACTCTTTTTTGTAAGACTTTCTTTGGCGTTGGGCTGACTATAGATTACAGGCTGATCAGATTCATGATTCAGTTGAGTGACTTCATTATTATGTATGATTTCACAGGCCGGTTCAATGTTAATTTCTCCGTCTTTTGAAATCACAGTGTTAGTCATGGACGTATGTTGAGAGTCATTTTGAAATAACTTAAGAGCAGTCAAAAGGCTGCTCTTTTCGTTTTCCAAATTTTTATTTGCCATTTTCAAATCAGATATAGAACAGGACATGTTCATATTTTGTGCCCTAAGATCATCATTCATTCTGATTAGCTCAAGCTTGTCTTTCTTTAGGTCATTAAACTACGTTTTCAAAACCAGAATCGAGTAGGGTTTACTTTCTTTAATATTGTTTATCTCAACTGTAATATCCTGTAGTTTGTTTGCCACATTTTCGGAAAATCTCTCAAGTTTCGAATTCAATCTTGCTATTGACTCGGAGTCGCAGTTATAGCTGGAGTTGCTTCCCAAGGGATTATGCCAATTTGTTAAGTTTGCGTGCATACCGATTGGGCCTTCATGCAAATTTTTTGACTTCGCATTCAACTCATCATACTTTACACCGATTTCAGAATCTATTTTCGCTTGATTTTCGTCTTGGTATTCCAATTTCTTTTCAACATCAGGTTGATAACTAAACGAATGTTCAAGTGCATCATCATTGACATCGTCAGGTTCGACAGCTAGCAAATTTTCAATTGATTGATTTAGATGTAGTTCGGCATGGCTATCGATTTCAGAAGCACTGTCCAGATCTTGATTTAAAAGCGAATGTATTCTTGCCGTTATGTCACTACCTTTCTCACCACCAAAGTTTATATTTTGGCTTTTTGTTAGCCAAGTAACTGATAACAGCTTACTTTCAAATAACCATTTACCGCCACTGGGGGAACGCCATGTTGTTGCTTCGGCAGTCTCCTCGTCAATTTCGGTTAGTACAAGCGCTTTCAGGGTTTCAAGAGATCCCGTCCAAATAAGTTTACTTTTCTTAATGTTGAAATAACTGTATAACACATTTAAAACAGTTGAGGAATTCATTTTAACTCAACAGAACTTGAGAAACAACAGAGCTCCAAAATACACGTCCGTCTCGGTCACTTTGAATGTAATGCGTACTTGGAGGAATGCTTGTTTAAGATCGTCAGTTAGGCCAACGGGGTGGAATCATCCGCGAAATAACACTTGCCAGAGATCGTTTTGCATTTGTATAGGAGGGGGTTCCTTTTTTGAGACATTCGTTGAAAGAAGGCGCTTTCTCGTTTTCACGTGCCGAGACGTCGTTAACGATTCTCATTTTGGTGGTTTCTGCCGATTCTTTAATGACTGCTTTATGTGGTAAATAAAACTCTTTACCAACCGCCTCCGATTCTGCTACCTCTACGATACCTTCCTGCGCTTGCTCCATGATGATTTTATCATACTTCTCCAAAATATCTTGCTTCTCTAACTTCTTAACTAAATTGTCTAGTCGCTTTAGGCTGCCTGTCTTGTTACTAGGTAACGGGGGGTGGCTCTCTTCCACGGCAGGTCGGCCTCGTACCTACCCTCACCACTGCGCGACAATTGTTCCTTAAATTCGTTATAAACATCATGTTGATCACCCGTAGCTGAATCTTCGAGACCTAGAACATCTAGCCTACAAAGTTTTTCATAATCCTCACGATGTACTTGAGTTAAAAACATGTTGTTAAGATCAATTTCTTTACCGGGGGACATAGTCGTCCAGCCAAACTTAGTGAGCTCCGCGACCGGGTCACCGGGAGAACCAACCCTTGGTTTTGTTGCGGTTTTAATTTTTGAATAGTCCCCAGTCCCTAGAATTAGATGGACGGGCAGCCACTCCTTTTGATCATTATCGTGCATATTTATGCTTCCGCATATCTCGGATTCTCTAAAGTTAATAGTTCATTCCTTTCAACACGTGTCACTTCTGTTTTAATGTTGAATTTATTGTTTGTTTCGTTTACCGTGAGATCATAAATTTTTACGTTCCTTTTTCGCTATGCCAAACATCATTTCAACGCGCCGAGTTTCTTGCTTTTTAACTTTAGCTTTGATAGTGTCTAAAAGCGCTGACGAAGCGTATGAACTGCCCTTCCCTGTATCGATTAAAGCGCGACATTTAACACCATTCACATCAACGATCACAGCAGCATAACGACTGGCTTATTGGCATCGGTTGCAGTATTAAGCAATCTGTCACGCCTCGGCTCAGGTGGGGGTGGAGATTCACTTGGGGCGTCACAAATTGAGGTGTGATGCCGGCGCTTACATTTTGTGCAACCTGCTCGACTACGACATTCGGCCGCACGGTGGTCTACTCCGGTGCAGTTAAAACGTTTTTCGCTTAGGCACTTCTTACGTTCCGCTGACGTAATTAATTTTGTCCAATTGACAGATAGATAGATATAATTCTTTATTATTCTTACAAGAATAGTACTCAAAACATACGTTTGAGTTTACAGCGTTTTCTAAGATTAAATATATTACAAGATAAGATTTACTGTTATTTACATAATTTTAACTATTAATTACTATAAAACTAAGACGATAATTGGCTGTAATCTACAAGACCAAGAAAATAATAAGTGGATTTATTATACAAATTTAAAAAGGCATCTGTTTATGAAAGTGCGTTTATAACGTTCGGTTCTTATTACAGGTAACTCGAACTCGTGTCCCCTTTGTCTTAATTGTCTATTTAACTTATTCGGCAACAATTCTTGTAATGCATTGTTTTTATTGTTTGTAATATTCTTCCATAATTTCCTGTCTCTGTCTACAATAATTTCTTTAAAATCATACTTCTGTGATATGTAACCATTTCGATATGCACGGCCAATGAATTTTTCGATTTGATCAATGTACTTACTATGAGTGCCTCCCCAAAGTTCAATTCCGTAAACAAATAACGACATTATTAAGCTTTTGAATAAAAGGTCTAACTGTTTGGTTTGTATACCATAATACTTACAAACTCTCAATATGTACATTCTTCCTCCTGCTTTGCTAATCATTTCCTTAAAGTGTAAGTCCCATTTATCAGGTACATTTTCCAACGTTATTCCTAATAATTCCAGCCATGATGGGAAGATAGTGTCGAGCGTTGTCAAGATGGCGCTGTATTCTTTGATTTCAATCCAAAGCATTTTAGTGTTATTTTGAATTATCTTCGAGTTAAAAAGATTGCCACTTCAGAGAATCCGGTGAGCTTACTTAAAATTCCTGAAGATGAAGCGAATAATTTCTACATTCTTGTGGAGTATCTTGGCTTGAGTGATAAAATCGTTCCAACTGAGATTTTGCCTGACGAGAAATTCAACTTGCACAGCCCAGGAGTCACTCTTGAGGAAGACGGGAAAGTCGCAGTTCATGATGGAACTGATGGACTCAAATATGCCCTTGGTGAGAATGTTTACAAACAAGGAATTGTGAATCTCGAATTGAAGTTGAAGTCGTTTGAAAATTTACGTTGGGTTTTCGTTGGCATAATGGATGTTGATATGTTTGTGTCACCCAATAATATCTCACATGAACGGCTTGGTGGATATGGATGGACATTGGGGGTCGACGGTGGATCAGGGTGGAAGAATGGGTCAACGTTGCCATTAAATGTAGATAAAAAAGCTGCCTTACAAAGTCAAGTTGAACAGGGTGATACGATTGAGTTAGTCTTGGACTATGAAACAGCAAGGTTGTCGCTGAATTTGAGCAAAGACTATAGATTCCATATCGATATACCCAAGTCTAATAGCTTTCGACTATACTTTGGCTTGTATTATGCCAATGACAAGATACGATTGAGTAATACCTAGTGATTTAGTGAACTATTTGAGGCTATGCCACCATTTTTGAAGTTCTACACAGTTGTGACTGTTCTTATTTTTGAGATAACGTTATTCTTTGAACAGTCGAACCCGTTTTCGCACGATGACATTATTTGGCCCAGGCGATTGGACTGACATAGGCTACCATAACCACTCATTAAAAGTCATGGTACACCTGGATACAAACTTACGACTTGACGTTACTGGTTTTGGACAGGATCAGATGGTTAGGATTCACACGACTTCAACAAACGTCCAACTCAACGGTCACCTCTCACCACCTGCTGGACCATGCAAAACCAATGATCGTGACCTCCAAAAGAAATTCTTGAGCCAAATGAAGCAACACGTTCCTTCGCAGCCCCCCCCCCCCTGCTCTCTTTATCTTATATCATAAGGGACAAAGCGGGAAGCATCTGCTTTTTCAATTTATAGAATTTTATTTCAGTTTTTGATAAGGATCTAGCTTCTGATTGCTTGATTTTTCTACTCAGAGCAGCTGTTAAATTCACCAAACTTGAAAGAAAACGTTAAGACTCAGGAAATTTCCTTTGAAAAGTTTGACTCTTTCGAGGGGAGGGAAGGATAGTTATTATATTCTTTTCAAATATGTTCTTTGCCTCGGGTTATTCAAAAAAACTTCCCCAGAGTAAAAAGTGGGCATATTTAAATTGTCAGAGCAAGCTGTATTTGCCCTGTCATCATTTCGGCGTCCATCGAAATAAATAGCATGTAAACCGCGTATGGAATAATTCATTTATATAACTATCACACCAAGCGAAATTTCTTAGAATATCTTAAAATGGATCAACAGCTTCACTAGGCATAATGGACATGTGACATGAACTTTGACCATGACGTCATATAGAGCATGTATTAACATTTAACACCAGCACATAATTAGTGAGGGAAAAAGAGCAAGAGAGACGGAAAATGTGTAAATGTATGTATGTATGTGATTAATGTGAAGTATCTGTGAGAGACTACGACAAGCTAACCTGCGCCATCATTAAGTATATACTTAAAGGACCTCGCCACAGAAGTAAGCTATCGAATTTATATTGTTGTTTATGTCATATTATTAAGGGTAATTTATATCACACGTGCGAACTTGATCGGAACTATATATGCATGTTTTTATTAATATTCTTTGTATTAATTTGTTCTTATTCTAGATCGAATTGTTTAATATAATTTATAATACGATTTGCGAGTTCCTTGGCCATGTGCTTAATCTGAAATTGTGCTAACCGGTCGTCTTGGTTCCGACGAAACATAAAACTTATTTTGAAATCAAATCAATGAGTAAATTGTTTAGAAGTTATTAGACCAATGTACTTCACACGTAAGTTTGGAACATTTTGAACATTTTTGATCATTTTGAACAATAATTATACAATATTATATACAATAGGACCGATAGTTGACTAATTTTTCTCAACTGTTCCTGGGTTCAATTGAGTTGTG